TCAACCAATACTGCGAGGTCCTTCTCCTCATCTGTTACTTCCAACTGATGAGTCCCCAGCTTATAACAAAAATTCTTGTTATTAATCCCTAAATACATGTCCTTGCACTTTTCACTATTAAATTGATCCTATTATTATTACTCCAGTTTACAAGGTCATCCAGGTCTTCCTGTATGATATCCTGGTCCTTCTCTGTATTGGCAATATCTCCCAGCTTTGTGTCATCTGCAAACTTTATTAGCACACTCTCACTTTTTGTGCCAAGGTCAGTAATAAAAAGATTAAATAAGATTGGTCCCAAACCGATCCCTGAGGAACTCCACTAGTAACCTCCCTCCAGCCTGACAGTTCACCTTTCAGTATGACCCATTGTAGTCTCCCCTTAACCAGTTCCTTATCCACCTTTCAGTTTTCATATTGATCCCCATCTTTTCCAATTTAACTAATAATTCCCCATGTGGAACCGTATCAAATGCCTTACTGAAATCGAGGTAAATTAGATCCCCTGTATTTCCTTTGCCTAAAATAATCTTACATTCTCAAAGAAGGAGATCAGGTTGGTTTGGCATGATCTACCTTTTGTAAAACCATGTTGTATTTGTCCCAATTACCATTGACCTCAATGTCCTTAACTACTTTCTCCTTCAAAATTTTTCCAAGACCTTGCATACTACAGATGTCAAGCTAACAGGCCTGTAGTTACCCAGATCACTTTTTTTTCCTTTCTGACCTGTGATGCTGCAAGGGGGCAGAGTTCCCAGGAACTGAATTCCAAAATCTCAGTTATCAAAGAGAGGGCTGCTGCTCCCTAGTTTTGTCCTGAGATGCAAAGTTACAGGGTTCCTTCACTTTTTCCTCCTGCTTCAGCAGCACTGAACAGCAGCATTATCAATGCAACTCTTAGAGCAAAAAGCATATTAAGAAAAAATAAATCTTCAAACTCAATGTTCCTAAAATGATAGTGAAAAGTAGCCATTAGATAAATTAGGATGTGTCTATATGTACATTAGAGAGACAAGGTGGGGGAGGTAATATCTTTTATTGCACCAACTTTTGTTAGTGAAAGGCAAGCTTTTGAGTTTACACAGAGCTCTTATTCAGAATTACACAGAGCTTGTCTCTCTCTCCAACAGAAGTTGGTCCAATAAAATATATTACCTCCCCCACCTTCTCTCTCTAATATCCTGGGACATGGCTACAACAACACTGCATACATGTGGATATACAGAAAAAATAATCCAAATTAATTAAGGGTGTGAATTTGAAGTGAATTAGTTAAACCACATTAAATCCCTGCGGGAATACCATGATTCAGAATTAAAGTGGCCTTCACTTCCTCAATTAAACTAAACCAAATTAAAGCAACTTTCATTCTGAACAACACCATCCACACAGGGATTTAATTCAGTATAACTAATCCACTTCAAATTCACACTGTTAGTTAATTTGGATTAACTTTCTGGATGTCCCCATGTAGCCAAGCCCTTAGATGGTCCAGTATGACACAGCTAGGTCAGCCTAGGGCACAGTACAGGAGATAACACTGCAAGGGACCACAGAGTTTAGTATTTTGCAAGTGGAAGAGTCATATGGGGTGCAATTGGTTACAATAAATGGGTATTCTGCTGGCACCAGACAGTGTGAGAGCCTCCGCACTTGGTATCCTTGAAAATAATGGGAACCAAGATACATTTAAATTAGACCCACTCCAAGGAAACAGCATCACTGTCAACATAGATCTACCTTTCTAATTATTTGTACTGGGCTTAGAATCATAGAATAGTAGGGTTGGAAAAGACCTCAGGAGATCATCCAATCCCCTGCTCAAAGCAAGACCAACACCAACTAAATCATCCCAGCCAAGGCTTTGTCAAGCCGGGCCTTAAAAACCTCTAAGGATGGAGATTCCACCTTAGAGATGGCTTGTCACCTTGGTACCTGGATCTACGGCATAGCCAATGCTTTTCTTAATACAACTGAGACACAGTCTCCCTCTCTGAGGAGTTTAAATTTGAGATGTCACGGGGCTACTTTAGCTCCACTGCTGTCTTGGGCCACCAAATTATATCCACTCTTCCACAAAGCGTCAACAGTTCCCAATGCACCACCTAGCACACAGTTATTAAAACATCCTACGCTATGATGAATGATCGTTTAGCCCTTTTGTGACATTACCACATCTGCAAACTCCACTTCCTTTTACCTATGCTAACTAAAGAGAGCTCACAAAATTCTCCCCATTAACTCATAGAATGCTGGCAGTTTGCAGAGGAAGGGCAGGTGAATGGGAGAACAGATGTAAATATTGTGTGCAATGGGTTCAGCAATAAAACTCATGTTAATTCCAAACATTTGTCTTTATTAAACAATTAACCAGCTCAAAGGAAGGCCTGAAAGTAGTGAGGTTAAACTATGTCATTACAGCATGGTTCTGTTCATAAAAGAACTTGATCTAGTGAAACTAACCAGGAGACTGGGATTCTGGACTAGAGATCTAATCCTGCCTTTCCCACTGACTCACTGACCATATATTAGTCACTTAGGCCCAAAATTTTGGGTGCCAACAATCTGAGACACACAAAAGTCAGTGGACACCATTGAAAATGTGGGCTTTAACCTCTCTGCGTCAGTTTTCCAACCTGTAAATATTCTGCGCTGGGAAGGTTGGGGTGAAACACAACAAAGTGTTATTGATTATGAATCATGAAACTGCAGAGGCCTTTCGCTATGGATTCAGGCTACGGCTCCAGGGGCTACTAAGAAAAGGTTCTTGCACTATTCCAAGACTGACAAACCAACCCCATCCTGACTTTTCCCTTTTGGGATAGCACCCCAAGCGAATACTGACGGCTTCCTAAGTATACAAGGTAGCAACATACTGAAAGGAGACTAAGACACATACTGTCTGTAACTCCCTCAGTGCTAATGGAAGTCAGGCACTTGAAATCCTTTCTATCGGACGGACCCAAAGTCCTCTGAAATCAAGGGAAGACTAATTGGTACCAATGAGCTGTCCTTCCGACCCAAGGCAGGAATACAGTGTGCAGCATAGGGATCAGAACAGATCACATGGTTGAATTAAAACCTTCACAATTCTCTTACATGGTCTTCTCTGACCACGCATGAACATATGTCTTAAGACGCTAAACCCCTCTTGAATTCCAGTACATGCCCAGGCACGGTTCCCTATTGAAACTCAGGGCCGCATAGGGTGCCCTTTGCAAGCTCCCTGAAGGATGCCTGGGCATAAAAAGCCCTTTGTGGTCTTCAGCGACCCATGTGCACAGCGACAAACTCTTCTAAGAATCAGCTCAAACTGCGCAGAGTATCAAAGGGACTTTGTGGGGGCGCCATAGACATACCCCCAGCGGGAGCTCTTGGCACGCAGAGTTATTCCAGCCTCTCTCCGACTTGAGCCGGGCGTTGCTCCATAAAAACACCTGGGGAGGGAACCGCTGCGGCTCCGCAATGCCCCGCTGCCCGGGACGCGGACGGGCAGCTCCGGGCAGGCAGCGCCGCGCGCCCCAGGGATGTTCTGTACCCAGGGGCAGGCGCTGAGTTCCGACCCCACAACACCCAGCCCATTGCACCCCCCGTCTCCGCCCCCTTCCCGGGGTGCCCCCCAAACCCTCACCCCTGCCCAGGGCAGCTCCTCGCCGGCGCGTCGCCTTCACCCACCCTCCCTGGGGGACGCTTCTGCGCCCCTCCCGGCCCCCCGGGGCGCTCCCCACTCACCCAGCGGCGTCTGCGGGCTGCCCCGGGGCATGGCCAGCCGGGCGCTGCTCCGGCGCCTCGGTCACATCGGGAGCTGGGGGCGTGTGGCTCCGGCGCCTCGTTTTTTCCGGGTTAATTTACGTTTCGCGTTAGCAGCAAACCCAACCCCGGATGTGAGTGCAGGGGCAGGGAGCCGGCTGGGTGCGCTCAGGGTGCAGCGAGGACCGGCTGGGGAGGGTGCTACAGACCGGCCCCCGCTCTGGGGGGCAGACCCAGACGTCCTAGCCGAGCCCTCTGCCTGCAGCCCGCATCGCCAGCCCGCGGGGGGAGGGGGTGAATTTTACAAATAAATTCTCACCTCTGAGGGGGAAAGTGTAGATTTGCACCAATGTTTTTTTTTCCTGCTCGCCCCGCGCCTTCTCGTAGATGCAGGATCTGCATCTACACACATACCAGGATCTGCATCTACACACATACCAGGATCTGCACCTATGGTTTTCATTCAGCAACAGTGACTTTTGGGGGTGTCGTATCCCGGGCTTCAGTGTAAATGAATGTGGCTCCGCAAAGGAAGGTCGCTGCTGAAATAAAAATCTGAGGGCTGCTAAACCCCCTGAACCAGTTTTGTTTGGTGGTGGTTGTTTTTTGTTTTCCAAAACACTTTTCACCAATTCTAACAGCTTCACTACATATGTGCTGCTCATGTCATGAAAGATGCTATTGTGATGCATAAACAGAAGGGGGCAGATTTAAAAGTTGCTATGGGAATCTTAACTCAGCTTCCTGACTCGTGCATGATTAAAATCTCTACCTTAATGATGCAGTTACATTTTGACACATAATTCAGGCCCCAGTCCTTAGAAAACAGTAAGGCACATGAGTAGTCCCATCCAGTGAATGCACATTAAGTTAATCAAGTGCTTACACCTTGCACAATCATGGTCTACGGTTGCACCTGACTTTCCTTTAAAATCCACTGATATATATATATATATATATCAACCGCAGAATTTGTAGGTTGCATCTGCAGATGAAAAATAATTCTATGACGAATCAGTGAATCAGACAAGGGGTTCTTGAATCAGGACCCTCCAAAAATTATATAGTACTGTGGTATTGGCTGTCTGCTTGGAAGGAAAAACAAAAACCAAAAGCTGTCTAACATATTACATCAGCAAACTGCCTGTGATGTGATGGCCAGTATTTCCCTAGTGTGGAGTTGAGGACCATAAAGTTTTACTTGGTGACAAAATGCAACTAAAAGCCAAAAATGACTGGGATTCTATAAGAGATTGCTCCACCGTTATAGCTCATGAAAATGGGGCTGGGAAGAGTGAACAATGTCAATATAGCTGGTTGGGTAGCAGTGAAATGCCTAACCCATGATTCACATGGTCAAATGTCACTTTTAATACAACCGTCTACTGTCACTCGTGTAGTTAATAAAAATGTTGCAAAAATGCAGTTTAGAGTGGACATACCTGTGAAAGCAGTTTATTCACTATGTTCCTTTAGCGATAAAGTAATAGGCCCATTCCTATTTTCGTGAATCTCACTGAACAAAGCATCCCCCCTCACCCCCCGAAAGCTTCCCTGTGGTTTGTAAAGCAGAAGGCAATACAACATGTATAAGGCTAGAGCAGTTATTGAGCGAAAGCCTAATTCGCCCTAGATACCTCCTCCGCTATGGCAAATAACCTTTCTTTACACAATGGAATAGATCTGTTACTCAGGCAGAGGGCTCCTGGTTCTGTAACTGCCAGAGTGAACTTGCACAGAAACTGTGAGATAAAAGTGTTTTCTTTCTCAGTGGAGCAGTTTTGCAGAGACCCAAGTCAGAAATTCTGATGAGATTTTTGAGTATTTTTCCAAGCAACGTAAGTAACAATCTCCAACTCCCCACATCTTACTTTTTTTAAAGAATGGACAGTAGTTTTGAAAAACAATTATGCACTATCTGGAACACATTAGATGCAATCTTATTATTACTTAAAATACTTGCTTCCCCCCTAAGCATTTCCTGTGGTTTGTGTCATTTTTAGAACAAATTTTTCCCTTCCATGCTAAAGACATCACCCAACTGCTGTTACTGCAACTGTGTGTGTTCATTGTTGTCTGACCATATTCGGGGCCTGCACTTCCTCTGAGAGGCAGCTAAAAACCACATTGGCTGCAATGAAGAGTGGGCACTGACCCATTGCAGAATACTGTAAAGCCAGGCACAGCAGCACGGGCCCTGTTCAGCAGAGCGTTTAAGCATGTGCATAAGTCCATCCCTACTCAGCACCAAGCATGTGCTTAAAGTTAAGCACGTGCTTGTGTTGAATAGGGATGAACTGGGTATCAAATTCCTGCAGAAACATATGCTCTAGTCAAGCTCTTGTAAAAGAAAGCTCTTTTTGCAGAGACCCAAGATAACCCCCCTTTATCTCTGGCTGGGTGAAATAGACCGCCAGCAGACGAGCAGCACATGTCTAAGTGCTACTTAAGACTTCCACCTCCGCACAAGGTTGCACCCAGGGAGCCCAGCCGTGGGTGAAGGAGCTATTGTTTTCATAGCCTCCTTTCAAACCACACATTACATGAGATTATATGGAACATGCAACTCCTCAGCAGTTTCACAGTCCCAGCCATTGATACTGGCTTTTGCCTATTGGCCATGGCAAAGCCTTCAAGCAGTGAGTTCCTCTCGATGCCCCTTCCAGGGGCAGGAGCTTTTCCTTCCTGGTTTATCATCTTGACACTTCCAGCCTGTCATAAATATTTTGCCGTTGAGATAGAGCCCTGCCCCAGACTCAAAAGTCTCATGGAAATTGTAACCCAAAATGTGTTATTACGTCAGGAGAGAACTGATGTGCTCCCTCCCCAGCTGTCCCTCTCAACCACCCCAGAGAGCTACTTGCAGGAGTGCGGGATCCTAGATACCATTTCTGTGTGCTTCAGCACTGTTACACCAGCCTGGGATCTGGGCAGAAGGATCTGTTTGTCTGTGTGCAATTAGAGAGGGGTGGACGTCTGAGACTAGGGGCAGTGATCAGGCATTAATCATGCCTCAACAAATCATTCAAAGAACTGTATTTTTTCTCCTTGCTTCCCCTAGCTGGCTAATTCATGTCTGCCTCTGGACATCATCTCTGCTGGTGACAGTAAGAACGAACCACCCCTCGCCTACCTCCTCCCTCAGTAAAACTCAGAATCATCATCAGGGTTTGTTATTGCAGTAGCTCCCCAGAAGACAGCCCTTGCCCCAAGAAGCAGTGTGAACGCACAGATATGCACTGACTGGATGTACACTGGTGGGCAGATTCACTACCTGGGACAGTCCAAATACAGTCTAAATACTCCAGTCAGGTTCCATGGCCTTTTCCTCACAGCAGGTTTCCTTAAATAACAGAAGCCGCAAAAGTCTCCAGGTAAGTAAAACAGCACATTTAGCAACAGAGACTTACCCCACTTTCTGAAAACTGAGGTGGGCACTTACCTGCCTAGTAGGAAACCCTTCCCAGCCATTATAGGAGACCCCCTTCCATATCCTAGCTACATCCCCCACTATTGAGGGTAGGCTAACTCCATTTATAGCAGGCATCACTTCCAACCTGGAGTCACATGACCCCTCTGTCATGTGCTCCCTGACCTCATAGACTTTAAGGTCAGAAGGGACCATTAGGATCTTCTATCTAGTCTGAGCTCCTGCACCATGCAGGCCACAGAATCTCACCCACCCACTCCTGTAACAAACCCCTAATCTATGTCTGAGCCATTGAAGTCCTCAAATTGTGGTTTAAAGATTTCAAGGTGCGAAGAATCCTCCAGCAAGTGACCTGTGCCCTATGCTGCAGAGGAAGGTGAAAAACCCCCAGGGCCTCTGCCAATCTGCCCTGGAGGGAAATTCCTTCCCAACCCCAAATATGGCAATCAGCTAAACCCTGAGCATGTGGACAAGACTCACCAGCCCAACACCCAAGGAAGAATTCTCTGTAGTAACTCAGATCCCACCCCATCTAGTGTCTCCTCAGTCTCAGAAGCACAAGCCTTAGAACAGGAGACCTGTGCACTGTTACACAGTAGTCAAGGGGTCTGGGGCTCCATTGCCATGCACCTTGTATGGTCATTCACAACAAGTGCAAAGTGGGTATCAGAGTCTACCAGGGTGACTGGGCGGCCTTTTACACTCCCAATGCTCCGGGGCACATGGCTGTGCAAGGTACAGAGCAGTGGAGAATCAGGCCCAAGGTTTATAGGGGACAGTATTGCGTCACAGGTTGCAAAAGGGATAAATACCCAAGCCATCCTGCCTCGTGACAAGCAGGTGACAGGTTTAGAGGCACTTCATTATACCCTTTAAAATGTCTTTTTAGATCGGTGAAAGGTGCTGCAGCTTCAGTTACCCTCTGCTTAGGTGGCTCCTTTTTAGCTCACAAGGTCATGTTTCCTAGTCAGCCAGTCACTAAGGTGTGATTGGGTGCATGGTGGTGAATGCAGTTTTTATCATTTCTGTCTCTTATATTCACTTTAAAATTCCTTTTTACCCAGAACATTTTTGGGCAGCTCCTCCAGCCCTGGGAATGGCCAAGCACATAACGATAACTGTGAGTTACACATAAAACTATGCATGTGTTTACATATGAGCATATGGTAAATATCTGCAGAATTATGATGCAAACACCTATAAGCACATCTGCAATCATAAATATGTGTGCATAATGCAGTGGCAGTATGCAAACTTTCTTTGTAGGAAAAGAGTTGGGTGAACTAGTCTCAGTACCAATTTATCTGGTGAATGGAGCCTCTTTTTCTTTAAGTGAATTATCCACAGATGGATTTGGATTTTCACAGCTATTTTTCTTATTTTGAATGATTTAATTGCTAGTTTATGCTAACATATTTCAGCCTGTGGGCTGCTTGCAAGCTATTTGCCAGTCTGTATAATTGTTCACCTAAGTTACATGGGGCCAGATTTTCAAGATCTCAGCTCTCATTAAGGCACCAAATTAAGTGGCCAGCTTTGCAGAAGAGTTGGGTCCTGAGGCCTTTTCAAAACCTAATTCTGGGTGCTAAGCACTTGAAAATATGTCCCATGCTGTTGTTCCTGCTTTTGGACTGGCTGGCTCTCAAGTTCCCTGGGAGATTCCAAGCCAGTTGCTGAACACATCTGACATGAATACTTGTGGTCTTGTGCAGAGGCCCATTTACACGAGTATTTACGATCCTTCCCCTTTCTGGGAATAAAATGGTGCTTGCACAGATGATAGATAGCAAAAAGTAAACAAGTCAAATAACACCCTCAAA